GCAACGGCCGACGATTTTCGTTTCGCCGCTCGTTTCCCGGTGGCATTAATGATGTCTCGTGTAGGTACAGTCACGACCGGTTCCTCGAGACCTACCTCCTATCAAGATCAAGTATCTTCGACTAGCTTCGACTTCTTGGAGAGGACACGCCGGGGCAGCCGAACAATTCCCATCTAGGGTTTCACGCGGTGTGTAAGACACGTCGTCCTGGTCCACACGCGATACCTTCGAGTCTTCGTCGAGGAAGCGAAGTTCGAAAGGTAGCGTTTTAGAGGTTGGGGACGAAATTCCGTGAGCGTGGACCGTGTGCAAAAATGAGCATCGCGTCCAACGTATAAATAACGAAACACATAGCCTCGTTGTAGGAGGCTGCGACGAGGGTTTGTGCAATAAATAACGACCTAGCGGAGCACACCTGCAGCGACAAGGCGTGTCCGATGGACGATGAAGTTTAACGTCCCTCCCTCGTTTATTTCTCTGCCCAAAGCTATTGCAAGACGCGACACCAATAAAATGCTAATTCGCCCTTCCTCGTTACGAAAGCGCACCCTCTATCTTGTTTTTTAACGCGACCCCTGGAACGAGGTGGCTATATACGCTACTATCTATTATCATTCATATCGCGTATTATCATGTATTATCGTTCATACCGTGTTTACCGATTGCTATATTATAATATCGGAGTTAAATAAGCGTGTTTCATATGCAGCGTTCATTCTTCAGTATATTTTTTTATTTAAGATTATTTTATACGTAAAAATGATAATTGTTAAATATATTTTGTATACTAAATGTAATATAGGAGTGAGAAAGTATTTTCTTCCAAGTAATTTTGAATGTCATAATTTTTTATCAAGATCATAATTGAAATTAACTCTTTTTTAGAATTTTAATTTTTTGTCAACTCATCAATCATATTACAATTTAGCAGATGATTCTCTAATAGATTCTTTAAAATATATTTAACAAAGATAATTTGCTGTATGTAATTTCTTATTATTATCTAATGGATGTAATACATTCTCCTCGATTCATTTGAATAATTTAAATACTTGACAGCCTACGATCTCAACATCTGTTTCTAACATAACTAATCTGTCAATCCATCAAAACCCACGTGTCTTTAACAATCAATGATACTTGATTTCAATTGTCATAATAAAACAAATCTTTCAAATCTAAAACAATTCCACAAAATTCACATACCTTTCACATATCAATCAATTTTTCTATCTCGAATTAAATCAAATTCTTGTAATTTCTTCTTTACTTCGATTTCCATTTCAATTCATTTGTAATATTTATTTCAATCAGCGTTTGGAAATCAATTTATTAACATCTTACGATTTAGGAACAGACTCATTCCCTCTTGTAAACGTGTCCTCGGCGTCTTCCTCAGCGCGGAAGGGAAGCTCTCAGCCTCAGGCCACGGACACTTTCCCTTACCGCTCCCGGAATAGCTCGGGAAAGCGAAGGGTAGCTTTTTTTCTTCCCGCAGCCAGGCAACGGGTGCATAGGAACGACGTAGGATTGGTTCTGATTATGATCTCGCGTCACCCCAACGTAAGGAGCGCGACAATGACGATGACTGCAATTCCGCGTACGCGCAAGGTGGTCCATTATGATCTTCCAGCTGGATTGAGCGACAAAATAGTGGAGATGAGGAGTTGGAGGAATCGTTCTAAGGAGCTCGTCGAATGTTTTAAGAAATCGTGCGTTTGTATGGGGGAAGAAAGTCTTGCTGGGTTTTATCCACTCCTTCGTGTGCGTGTGCATGGGTATACTTTTGAATAAGTAAGTCGTTGAAATTTTAAAAAAGGAATCTTTTAATTTTTCGTAGCCAAATATATTTGTTTATGCTCCATTATGCTGCTATATATTTTAAGATTAATTCTTGTATTATTCCAGGATTTTGAAAAATCTGAAAAATATTCTATGATCTAAATATATCTCCTCTTTCGTATCATAGAATTATGATATTTTTATGATTAAGGATAAGTAAATTATCCTATTCCAAGACAGGATTTAATTTGTGATAAAATGTTGAGAAATGTTAATAACAGAAATATAAATTTCATTTTACGAGTAACTTTCTTTTAAATATATATTATGTTTATAGAAAGTTTCATTTTATATATATATATATATATATATATATTATTAGAAAGTTTTATTTTCTATACGTCTATAAAAAATAATCTATAGAAAGTTTCATTTTATTTTCTCCGTTTTATTCTCAAACCATTTCGTTTAAAACGTTCAAGAATTTTATAAGCAATTTTCAATTATGATATGCCTTCACGAAGTACCGGACGCACAGCATGGTCTGTTAAATGATCTGTATAATGTCCATATTTTCTTTTTTTTTTTTATCCGAGAAGGATCAGACTCGTAAGCATAATATATGTAATGGAAAGAGAGAGTAATAAGAGATAGTCTATAAACCACGGCGTATACAGCTCTACTTTATATTCACACGTAATAAAAACGTTGATTGTCGTTTGTTTCACGCATCGCGATCACGGCGAGCTATCTCACATTATCCGGATACTTTCATAGCCTGTAATATTAAGTAATTGTGCAAGTCGACTCGACGTGTCGATTATAGTTCGCTCTGTCAAGGACTCTCTCTGGAGCGAGAAAGAAAAGTGGTAACGGTTCACTGCACTCTTTATTAAATCCATCAGGCCCCGCCGACTTTTCGAGGATCAGCGCCGATTCCTCGATACGATTTATCGAAGAAAGAAGGATATTAATTAACGAACCGACGCGGGAAAGATTCCCTCGGACAATGGGCTCCAAGTTTTTCCAACGTCGACGTTGAAAGTCTGACGGTGGAGGAACGAAGAATTGTTCCGGCTGCAACAATACCCCCTGGCTCTAGAATTCGCCGTCGAACTTAAATTTTAAGAGTCACTGGCACGAATAGACTTGCCGACCTCCGCTAAAAAGCGTTTTTTTCCACCGCTCGAATGGACCGCGGTCTGCCGCAGAAAACCCTTACTTTCCGCGCGACGAATAATTTAAGAGAGAAAAAGAGCGCAGCAACTCGGAGGGAAGAAAATGAAGAGAGACCGCGAGAGACGGACGTAGGAAAAAGTTTTCGTTAAACTCCTTTTTCTTTCTTTTTCTTTTTTTTTTTTTTTTCTTATTATTATTATTCCCCTCCTCCTCCTTCTTCCTTTCCTCTTCTGATCACATCCTATCTATCGATTTCGGCGATCGACGTCTACGGCGGATTTTCCTCGGCAAGTTTTTATTGTGGACGCGCTCCTCAGGATTCAATTTCATTCTTTCGTCCTCGTCGTCGAAACCCGGGGAGAAACCGGACCGAGGGTGAGCGTCAAAGCGAAAGTTTCCATAATAACGCCTTTACCACCGATACCTCCTCTCATCGCCGACAGAAACCCAAGAACTTACGCAAATGAACGGTTTTCGCGATCTCACGGAAGGAGAGGGAGAGACAAAGAAGTTCCAGTCGGAGGATCGTTCAGACGATCGCCTTTCATTATTTGTGTATCTCACAATGTGCACTACTTGAATTTTACTACTAACAGTGATCGTGAAAATACGATTGATCAAAAGGATAAGAAAGATTCGTAACTTTTTTCCTGCGGAAGACTTCTGTCTTCTGAAGTTTTCGCGAACAAGGACTCGTTGAGAGCAGATCTCTTCATTACCAACAGAAGTTCCATCCTACTTGAAGAAGAGAGCGGGAAAATATGAAGTCTTTGAACACTTTTTGAACGAAATATCGAGCGAGAAAACGAAATGAAAAGGTTCAATATTATATTTTCCTAAATTTAGAGGAATTTGAACGGCTACACGTTTAGCAATATGAACAAATTCCCATAGGATGTACCTATTTTCTGCTGAGCTTCACAATCTAAAACGAAGAAGATCAAAGAATTTTTACAACGCTAGCCTTTTTTTACGGCCACTTCTAATTCCCATATATAAATTCAAGTTTCCCTATAGTATACCACTCTAAATAAAGCCTCGTCAAACAGTATCCTGCAGTGGCGCTACCAAATACAGCAACCACCTGACCGTGAGGGGAAGGAAACTCTGTTTTCCCGCGTGTTTTTCAACGCGTGACAGACCGAGGTCTATCGGGATGAAGTCTTCAGAAACGGCACCGTACGCGACATCAGGTCGGAAATACAGGTTTTTGTCTGCCATAGAGAGAAGTTGAGACCCCTCTCTTTCTCTCTCTCTCTCTCTCTCTTCCCCTATACAGTTAAACCCCCAAGTGTAGACCCTCATTGTTGGGTCACGGTTGACATTCACGGCGTCCAGGCGTCCTCGTCGTCACCGGTAGGATTCTCCGGGGAGTGGATACCTCCCAAGTCACAAAGGATCCTCTCGCTTCTGCACCCTCCAACTTCCTGCGCCGTAGGAGCCGCTTTAGAAATCCCTCGAAACCAATTTATCTTGAGAAGCCTAGGCCCAGGCTAAACGGATTTTCCCTCGGCCGGCATTAGACGCTTTTATTCGACGTGAAATTAGCTTACGGACTCGCGGATCGATCGCCGCGAATTATTATTCCTTCGTTTCTCCTCCTCAAAAACTGAGAGAGGAAGGAGAGAGCAAGGAAGAAGGATCCTATATCTTAAGATCTTCAAAATTGAAGATCCTTCGAGGATGATCCTTTATTTCCGACAATTACGATTCTTAATTAATTAATTCTCCCACGCGTTTATCAACATAACTTCCTCTTCTTATTGTTCCGCCGTGCGAATGATGGATCCTTCCAGGCTAACGAGCGAGTAATCGAGACGACGTACAACCGCGTCACATCCG